ATCAGTCAATGGTTTTTAAAACATTTGTGTACAGTATAATTCTTATTAGCCCAGAAGAAGTTATAGTGGCTTTGCTATTTTAAAATAAGGTGGTCCTTGATTTGTTTTCAGTTTTTCCAGTGAAAATCTTTAACTAGCTCAACTTGACACGCTTCTAAAATTACAAGAAAATGATAGCAGCTGTGGGTTTAAACACCCTCGTTAATAACACTTGACTATCTGTCTGCATATGCAGGTTTCTGCTGCAAAATACTTTGGTTCTGATTTGTTCAGAATAACTCAGGGATCCTTCAAATCATATATTTTCCTCTATAGACGCATAACATAAAGAGAGTCTGTATCAAATAAAAGGACTATAAAATTCAGGGATTTGGAAGTGATCTGGTGAAAGGGGAGGATATAAGAGAAAATGGACAGAGGCAGATGATTTTCTTATGCCTCAGCTACGCAGAGGTGGCTGACAAGGATGTTTTAATGACAGATCTAATACTGAACGTCTTAGAGCTGTGTATGAGTGGGTTTTTTGTTTCTGTGGTTTTCTTTTTGTGGGGGAAGGGGAAAGACTTTTAGGGAAAACTGACTTCTCAGTCCCAGAGGCTGAGGTCACCCTTTGTTTGCAGAAGAGCAGACAATGTCTGTGTAACTTCTGGGGTTGTCTTGCCAGATGATCAAATCTTATTCTCCTGGAACCTCCCATAAGCAGAAAAGAGTAACGATGTGACGCTTTTCAGGGCTGCTAACAAAGGCTTGTTTGGTTTGTAACTGCGTATAGTTACATGTACCTTTACATTTCTTGTATAGGTGTGAGATGATGAAGGGCGGTTCAGAGCTACTTCTCTTTCTCTTCTGCTGTCCTGTCAGCATTATTTGGAAGGAGAAGTTTGACTAGCCTTCCAAAGAGGTGGAAACAGTGCCAGCACAAAATTTTCCTGTTGTGAGACCTGCTTCTCAAAGAGTTGCAGTTCATTTCTTTAGCAGGTTGAAATGCAGAAAGACCTATTGATTCCAGTTATTCTGTTTTGCTTATTACAATATATAGCTGTAACCCTTCTGGAGGGCTGGGCCCAATGTCATCTTTCATTGATGTTAATGGAAACTGAAGGGTTTAGCACCTTACAGAAACAGGGCATGTATACCTCAGCGTAACAGCTGAGGTGAAGTCCAGAGAAATCTAATATATTTCCCAGCCGTTCAGGCCCATCCTGGTTGGGGGTGTGTGTGTGTGGTTTTTTTGTTTGTTTGTTTTTTTCCTCAATGAACAGGTCTCCCGTGCTAATGTCAATTGTTTGTATGTTATAGTTCGCCCAGTAATCTCCACTGTTACTTCACGTGTCTTCTGGGCAAAACATGTTTTGAATTTGTTTAAAC